AAATGCCTTATTGAAATATTATCCATAAAGTTAAGATATTATCTAGTCTCTCGAGACAAGTGTTACGAGAGGCGCGCGCCATCTTAAGGGGCGAGGGACTTAAAGGCTCTGAAAGGCTGACGACGCTGCTGCAACGGTGTTTACAAAGTCGAGTGTCTAATCAAATGAACAACAAGACATGGATCAATTCTGACTGATTTTACTAAATCATTTAGATTATTTTCAAGATGTTTCAAAAAGGCATGAAAACTAGGATTATGATTAATTAAACGCTACGGTTCCTATAATAATCCTGTCTTTGCTCGTGATCATCAAAAGACAAAAACACAGCATATAATGTATTTTACTATTTATAACATGATATTCCCGAAATATTTCCTTTGCCTTATTGACATGTCAACCTTACCTGTTCAGATTTTAGTTTGGTTTGGGAATAATTGAATTTTTTAATTAGGCAAAGGCCAAATAAGCATCTGACTGGATTTCAGTCTGGCCGGCGACGTATACTTAACATTCTACTAGAAGTGTTATTCAAAATGCATGTATGGCCAAGGCTGCTTTTTTGTACATGCTTCTTGCACATGGCAGATATTTCTTTATATATATATATATATATATATATATATATATATATATATATATATATATATATATATATTTCCAATATTTAAATATTTTTGTTGGGTCCATGATAAAAACAAGATGAGTTAAAACCATTTAATGTTATTGAAATAAACTTACAAGCAAACCTCTTCCTTTTAGATTTTAAGTACGTTTGTCTCTTTGAACGAAACTTAATCTGATAATCTTTGCGATAATTGTCCTCACTATCAACAATGTACATGACAGTGCGCACTCGTTACTCTCTTCAAAATTACTTTTCAAAGTATCAATCTTTAATCGCCGGATGTTATTGTTCCAAATACTAGATAAGCTTGATGCTTTGAGCCAAGCATTTAATCCGTGTAGCCTGGTAGGATTATTATTTAGGCATTCAACGACGGACGAGGTGCTTTGTATATGTATGTTATATTATCTTGATCATGAATCAATGTATAATGTACCTAAATGATTTCCATTCAATGTGAGTTGAATTTCAATACTTGAATTGATTTTTGTTCCAATATCAAAAAGACATATTTCAATTTTAACTGCACCACCTAAATATTTTAAATTTAAAAAATATCAATATTCGCTCAGCCTATTCTTTCTTTCTCCCTTCCTTTATTGGTGGAATCATCAATCTAACTTCTTACTTAGGAGCATCCATTTTCAATATCATTTTTTTTTTCAAATCTACAAAGAATGGACTTTTTTCAGAACCCACTCCTACAGAAAGTAAAAGGTGAAAAGCTGAAAACGAGGACCTTTAATGGTAAATTCGACAGCAATTTGGATAATCATTTTTATAATTTTTCCAAAAGCGTACAAAAGACATTACCTCCCCCCCTCCCCATCCCAGCGTATGTTTAAAATGATGATAGAAATGGATGACCCCTAATGAGCCTTACCTGAGCCTCTCGGGTTAGTCTACGTCGAGGGATTACAGACGGCCTTGGGAAGCGGTTTTTCACGGGAGTCACATCGTTTTCAGACACCTCAGCTATATTAGGTGGGGAATCTGCCTGTCCTTTCGTCTCTGAAAGTCTTCCGCCAGAGCCGTTCTCGAAAAGCTTTGGTTCAGTTTGTAATGGCGTGGGACGGGCAGGCTGTTGCGGACCAAAACTAAGCAAGAAGAAAGGCAGTTGGTGGTCCTTGCGTTTCCAAATGTCTTCGAAAGTCTCGAGTTGTTTTACCAACATATTCATTTCAGGCGCATTGTCAGTCTCTGTCTCCCCTATTTGTGGGATCTTGCTTTCATTAGGTCGAACTCTGTTTTCTTCCTCTTTGTCAAACCACAAATCTGATACTTTTGCTATCACATCTGGTCCCTGTCGTGTGCCTGGTTTTTCTTGTCCAGTAGAAGGTTCGATTTGTTCCAATCCAGTGCCTTTGTGTTCTATCGAACGCCAATCCCCCTTTTCTATTTTCTTTGGCGGTGAGCGAGATCCTTGCAGTTCTACTGGCCATTCTCCTTTATGCTCTCTATTCGAAAAAAAGTCCATTGTTTCTTCCCCATAACTGGTATGAAAGAGGAGAAAAGCGACCAGGAATGGGCCCAGAGGACCCACCATCGCGAGCGCCGTTGTCTCAACGTTTTGATACTTAGTGTGCGACGTGGAACATCGCCGTTCTCTTATTGAGACAAACCCACGTTTCGTTCTATATATATTGCCACAGTATCGATCGAGTGCTCTCAAGTATCATGTCATTGACAACGTGTTATGAAGTCCACCGAGTATTGTGAGTGCGCGTGCGTCTTTGTGTGTGCCCATGTGTTTATGTGTGTGTGTGTGTGTGTATGTGTGTGTGTGACCGTGTGTGTTCATGTGTGCCCATGTGTTTATGTGTGTGTGTGCGTGTATGTGTGTGCCCGTGTGTTTATATGTGTGTGTGTGTGTGTGTGTTTGTGTAGCATGTGCCCATGTGTGTGCGTGTTGGTGTGTGTGTGTGCCATGTGTGTGTGGGTGTGTGTGCCATGTGTGTGTGTGTGTGTGTGAGTGAGTGTGTGTGTGTTATCTGCGTCAACATCCGTGCTCTAGACTACTACCAAACACTTTTTTGGATAAGTAAATTCAAGTGGGTAAGCAAAATTCAATTAAATTAAAACTTCTTGTTATATTCATCTGTCTGTTTGCAAATTTCAAGAGAATGCGGCAATATCGGTTTAAAATTAATGATTGCATGGACATGACACCAGACTAGTCTAGAAAATTTTCAGGTTTGGTTTGATCTGCTTTATAGTAATTGCAGGAAGTATGCGCCTTCTGCGTGCCTGTCTAATCTCACAATTTTTGACTATAGCATTATATCAACAGTAAGTTTTATGACACATTTCCTCTAAGAGTGAGTGAGTGTGTTTTGTACTGTCTGGTATTTGTGATTTGATTTAAAAGTTTCTGAGATAACTCACAGTTGCCCATTTTATATAATAGCACGTTTTCAGACAAACTGTCACATGGGAAATTAAATAATCCGACTCCAGGTCATGAAAGAACAGTAAATGACTGAGCGTCGTTATTGGTTGCATGAAACGCTATATACGATAATACTTCCAACGCACAAAAGACGACTCGACAGTTATAGCAGAGATCATTAAATAGGGGGGGGGTCTATGTGATAAACAAGCAAGCGAGAAAATAATGCTAATTTAGCAAAACAAATTTCTTACTCGGTGAAAAGTAAAAAGAATAGAAAAAATTGACATTAAAACAAGACAGTTCGTTTTTGCCACCTAGCTAATTAGTTGATAGAATATAAACAGATATTCAACGGCATCTTAAAGACGATCTCCATGTGACGAAGTTGCTGGCTTTATCTTTTGAGGTTAAGCGAGGTAGAAAGCACAACTCTTTTATAATTACAAATTATTTATTATTTTTATTACCAAACTTGCAACCCGACGGTTGGATAATTACAATTATTGCATCATAGTTAAATAAAACCACTAGTGAATAAGAATAAAGGAATATTAAAAGACATGTAAACAAATTTTAAACAAAATAACCTAAATGCAAGGTTAAAAAATGAAATAAAAGTCTATCAGTTACTTTTGAAACTTGTATATCGCACTTGTTAAAAAAATCGCTCATTGATCGTTTGGCCTTAATTTAAGGTCTTTTTAATGTCTCCTGTTCCCTTAATGAATATTTGACATTTTCTTTTGGTTGTAAAAAATAATGCAATCTATGATCCGGTTCATTTGATATCCTAATAAACAATTTTTTTTGCATGCATCGAGCCGTCTTTCACTCAGTAGTTCAAGTTTACTATGTTCACAAGCAGCATCATATTCAAGATCAGGATAAATTATCTTAAGAGCTCTTCCTTGAGACTTATCTACTAGGGCAGTAATTCATTCCTTAAAGAATGGAGAGAGAGAGAGAGAGAGAGAGAGAGAGATTTACATGGTGTCGTATTGTAAATATGCTATATGTCATTGGTTTGCAGTAGCTAATCAAAGTTAATAACTATATGTCAGTGGACGCCATAAATGATGGGTTTCTTATGAGCTATGAACCATGTTGCCGTGGTAACACATTGCTAGTGCGTGCTGATAATCTACTTGTATAGGGTATCTCGTCAATTACGTTTGGTTTGCGGTAGTTTAACAGTTAAATAACCGTTGGCCTTCAGAATATGAATTTAATACATGCATTGACAGAGTGTAACGAGAGAGAGAGAGAGAGAGAGAGGTTGCTTAAGACAAGATGAAATTGAGAAAAGAGAAAAGTTGCTCACAACAGAAGATGACAAAGAAAACAGATATTGGCGTACAGTATTGCAGTTGTAGATGCTTTGTCGTCATAACGACAGGGCAGTCTTTGTTATCATCACGGAGAAAGCAACACTGATGCGTGTAATCTGCAACACTATACATGTACCTTTTAATAACAAGCATATTTTGTCATTTAAATTTCCTCCGAGAGAAAAGGGAAAACACACAAAACACAAGGCACTTTTTTTTCGTTTTCTTTCATAACACTATTTGCTAAACACTCGCACTTTTCAAAATATTTTCGTCAAGGTTCGTGTTTGTTAGGTTTAAACATGTAGTAGTACGCATTCTCATCTGTATGGGGAACGCAGGGAATAATAAACGAACATGGCCGTCAAAAATTATGAACTTTCCAGAAATTGAATTTACAATAAGTACCGGTAGGTGTATGTACATGTATATAATGCATTCTATGGAATAATTGACCCGGTCTAATTATTGTATTAAAGAGAATTCTTATTTTTTAATGCAACTGGCACATTAAATACGTTTTCTTTAATTTTTAGCAAAGCAGACAACGCGCGTGCCAGTATGATAATCAATGTTGGCAAAAATGGCCGATGTATACATTTTAAATACCTAAAAGTATTGCCAAAGCACTTCACCATACACAGTGGTGTAGCTACTGAAGTCTCATGGGTGCTGTATTGGGGCCATCAACTTTATCATACACTCTATAGAGAACCATGGCGATTAATTGTCCTAACAAGCCTAAAGCATAAAATATAATTGACCACGAATATTCTGGCTCCCATGTCAGCGGGGGATACTTGAATAATTCCCACCATATACCATATAAAGGTATACCGACTAACTGCACCATTACTCCATAGGTGGCACCACTTTGGCCGAACTGCATCATGGAGCTGAATAAATATCCCGATAGGAGGAAGGTGACCACGACGATCCACGTCCCAAAGAGGGTTGATTCATGACCAAGGCTGTACGAACATTTTGCACTGCGGATCATGTCATCGTAGAATTCGCTTGAAGAGGAGGTCTAAAAGGATACCAAGTCATTTATGTTTGCTGTTTACATTTATTAAAGATCAAATCCTAGGATAAAAGTGATATTCAATATTAATCGACAGGGATTCGTTTAATATCAAGAAAAATACAATACACCTTTATAAACTTCAATGGAGGGAAAACTTTTCATTAATTATATCAACAATTCTAATTGAGTCAACAATCCCCAGAAAGTATATAAACAATTCTCACTGACATCCCAATCTTAAACACCCTCTCCGAAACATTGTTACAGCAACAGTGCTATAATATTAATGCGCACTGATTCGTATTGATGCGTACTCGGCACCTACCTTCCCAACAGAAGGCACGAAATTGGACCAAAAGAAAAGTACTACGAATATCGCAAGAAAGAACATCATCCATGCAAAATGGACCTTGACATGAACCTGAAAAGAAAGAACAATTTTGATTCAAGACATAAAACAAACATGTGGCGTGTGACTTGTGTCCAGAGCACTAATGAAAACCTAATTATTATATAGATTTTTCGCCCTGGACTTAAAATTTGACCTTATTCATTGTCGTAACCTATTCAGTCACCTTTATTAATGATAGTGGTCTGCAACCAAATGAAATACAGGTACTGGAAATAATTTTTACAAAAAAATTGGGAGGGAGGTTCATAAAGTGATAATTTTTCTCTTTTCTGTTATCAAATATCTCTCACTTTTCCTTCAGTCAGCGTCTTGTGAATACCACAGGCGGCAGAAATAGTAAAATTAACCTGCTTGTTGCACTGTGGGCAACAGCTGCCCTCACCCCCATCACCACCCTCACCCTCCCTACCACCTCCACCCCTGCTCCCACCCAACTCTCACCTCTACCTACCGCACCATCATCCTCACCTCCACCTCCACCCCTGCTCCCACCCCAACCTTCACCTCTACCCACCGCACCATCATCCTCACCTCCACCTCCACCCCTGCTCCCACCCCAACCTTCACCTCTACCCACCGCACCATCATCCTCACCACCCCCCACCCCCATCCTCACCCTAACCCACACCCCACCCCGCCCCCACCCTCACCCCCACATCATTCACACCCCAAACATTTTTCTCAGCCCTGGTTTTTAAACCATATACATACCCCTATCCTGTTTATCTCCTTCTCCATGAATGTGAACGCAACGCACAGCTCTAACAGAGCCAATCCCATCACCACGGCCCAGGTGATTAGTGTTGCCGTATTACGAACGTGTGACCATCCGGTTTCTTTATAGTCGAAATCAAATATTTGCGGGATGAGGGAGAGGAAGAGACTGGCGGTACCCGTTGCTATGACAGCCAGGTGGGACAACTGGAGGTCTGGAAACAAAATGTCGATATCTTGTATGGTTTATTTCTTTTAATTGGTAGGCAAGGGTATCGTTTTTACACCGTGTTTCAGATTCTTGCAAGCAACTTTGCTAAATGAACCATGACTTGCAAATTGGATATTTACCAAATATAACTATTTAAAATATTGCGACTGCATAGGTTTAATTTTGAAAAAAAAACATGATTAGTTGCTGGCGTTCATGCTTTGGTTTGAACTACGAAAAACCCTTTGTTAATAGAAGTTCTACTGTCAGGCGTTACATTATACAATCAATCATCTATTTTTGAGATTACATTTTATAAAAAAAAGCATTAAATGGAAAAATTAAGACAACCAGTGAGAGTACAATCCTTGTACCGGTACAAATACAGTGAAAATCTATATTTAAAAACTTCAGGCAGACAATCGAGCCCTACCCACCTTTAAGACCAGTCCACTTTGCAGCCAAACCGCACATCCAAACCATTGGAATCAAGGCCAAGGCGACCACCCCCTTTAGAGTTCTGGGCAGGTGGTTGGCCTCGCAGGCATACATCAGTAGGAGACCTCCGGTAGCTGCCAGGAAAGCAACCAGAACCACCCTTCTGAAGGACAAGATCGTTGGCACGATCGACACTGCATGCTGAACATACAACTTGGCAACAAGAACGTAAAGCACCATCAGCACGGCGGACCATAAGACTGTATGGGCCACTAGGAAGTACGAATCCCCTCCGCATTCTGTTAAGGATTGATCGACCATGGGGTACGAAACGAAGAGACAGAGGGTGGAAATGACACTGACGATAGTGGTGATGATGTTGTGAGCCCGGGGGGAGACTTTGAAACAGCAGATTTGCATATCAATGTCGCCGGGTTCATGATCACGAGAATTCTCGCGATGTGATGGCTGGATTAGGTAAAGCCGCTCCTCCATCGTGTTCTGCGTATCCGCTGCGTCCATCTCCATTTTTAAAATCTGATGTGTAGTTTCCGTGTTAAACAAAAATATTGCCAATGTTACAGCTACGGTTATTCAAGCCGTTGTTCTAGTGGTCCTTGAAAAGCGTCTTTATTCTCACGCAATTCTCTTGTTGCGCAATTCTGCAACAAGGCTTAACGATGTTTTTACTATGTCAATCGTTTGATTAAATCGGATTGAAAGAGCAGTTTGTCAAATCCGAATTTCAACAACTTCAATGTGTATTTTATATTTTAAAAACCTACCACCGATCTAAATTCCCCGGGGCAAAGTCACGGATTAGATCATTTCTTGATTACGAGAGCGTCGAGTGCCACTTGAGAGACCAATGAGAACATTTAGGCGGCTGGAAATCCTCTATTCCCAATATATGCAATAAACACAAAGCAATACCAGCACATTCGAAGAGAGATCGCCTCTTTTCCGTAGTTTTAAGTCATTTCTTAGGATATCACAGAGAGAAATTCGGGGGCGCATGCAGTGCCTATAATACAGAAACCAGACAATACAATGTATATTTACATGTACATCCCAATCAGTTACGCAGCATTTATCGTTCAAAGGCCGATAATGTTCTGATATCAAGTAGACTTTCACTCCTTTTTATCAATTCTTATCATTACAGACAATACGCAACTGTGATGTTATTATATTATAGTGGTGGAAGGGCCCATTCCCCCTGAAACTATCGTTCTACGTAGATTGATACAAATTCCGTGGGGACTCTCGCTAAATGCAATTCCGGTGGCAATTAATTGGGGCAATTAATTGACATGGTACATAAATTGAAGGACTTTGCCACGTAACACATCAACTCAAGTACGTACCGCAGTCAATCTATCCTTGTTAAGGTGGGGGTTGGAGATAACAAAAGTTATGAATTATAAGTAAGTAGGGCAGCAAGTGGAGAGCCTTTATAGGGGCCATTCACAACGAATTTTATCTACCAAGCCAATGTGCACTAACTTTAAGGGGACGCTCGCTGAATGAAATCAAATCAGCACTGACATACCTCTCTTGATTTTAACGTGCTCGATTAATCACAGCTTTTCCATATTCTACTCAATACCATGAGGTGTGAACGATCCCTTAGACCTACAGTGTGTAACTACTACAATGCAGTACATGTAGGCCTTAGCTCAGATTGAGCTGTCAGTACCCAGAATAATTGGGAAAATACGCGTGTCATTCTGATAATCAGAGTGTGACCATTTTCTTTTTAGTGAAGCATTGAGTTGAATAGGCTATTTTGTTATAAATGCACCCACCCCATCCCTGCATCGTTGGCAGGGGCGGATTTAGACCGTCTTCTGGAAGACGGTCAGATTTTCAAGTTTACATTGTCAGCCATGTAATGTTTTCTGTCGGAAGACGGTCAAAAATGGAAGATGGATCAACAAAGATAATTTGGAAGACTGTCAGAAAATATCTCTGGATCCGCCCCTGGTTTGTACATATATTAAATTGCTTAGATTTGGCGTTTCTAAACACTTCTGTTGTACTAGTACGTTATATTAGTATATCCGGTCCGTATATACTAATATAACGTATATACTAGTACGTTATATTAGTATATACGGACCGGAGTGGTACAAGGGTGCAACAAGGTTCCAGACTTTGTAGAAAAAATAATACTTGTTCACACAGACCTCGTAGCAAGAATTTCTCCAAGCTACACGTAGGTTAATTCAGATAACGTGTTTGCTGTCACGTGGCAATACATCATCATGGGTTTAAACCACTGGTTCCAGGCTAAAATACTCTCTAAACATTTCAGTGTATCCACGCTCGAGGCAGTATAAAGCACAGCAAGACTTAATTGGATAGGCCTAACTCTCTATACATACCATTAATAAGCTACACTACCAATGCAGTAATGTATAATCCAAGCACTGTATATGCATGTGTACTGTCGAAATACACATATCTTATCCCATACACTCCTGCTTGTAGATAGAAGAATGTGTACAGTCGCCGCTCGGGCTGATAAGAGAACAATTCTTTGTCAGCTTTGGCGATGATATCCCTTCCACTATAGCAGAGTATCTACAGTAAAACCGTATCAGTCCTGATTTTGAAACGGGGCTCCGAAAGGGACAGGCTCTGATTTTAGCGGTACAAAAGTGAGACCCGTTTCCAGTGGTGTTTGGTGGATGTACCTTAGCACGACCCAACTCTGCACACTGGCTAACAGAGATTAGCTATCGATAAAAGGGTCCCCCAAGACGGGATAAAAGAGGGCTTAGACGAGGGTTTTATGAGTTTTTATAAGTATTTATAATCAGTTCGAATACTTTGATAGGGTACAATATAAGACAAACGTGAATCTCAACTGGAAAAGCGCGACTTAAAGAGGGTGAGAGGGAATGATAAAATCATAGAAACAACTCAACTGTACCAATTTTCTACAAAAAAAAAAAAAAAAAAAAAAAAATCCCCAAAAGTCTAGTCAACTGTAGAGATAAAGTACAGTGTCCAACAGCTGACGGGATTTTGAGGAGAAAAATACTGTTGTCGGTTTTGTGATTTTCTCTCGTACCAGGCAGTTATCAAACAGTTATCAAATACATGTATTATAAAGCTTGGTGAAAGTACAAAAATGTAATGTAACGTACCACAACTTTCTCTTAAATGACTTCACTATCTGATTTCATCGGTTTTCGCGTGAAATGCCCAGTAAATTTTTCTGACAGATAAAGCTAAGTTGTCACAACGACGGATTCCTCGGTTTTTCTGGGAGAACGCCAGGCATGCGAGACGGCCCACGTGATACTTTGAATTTTCCAGAAAACAACATCCCTTCGCTACAACTATTTATAATTTGCAGTCTTGTCTTAGACCCCATTCCCAGAGATTAGATCGATCCAACTAGATCGACCTAACTCCCTGGGGGTTCACGCTAAAATAGCTGTCAGCCGAGAGGGCACGAAAGTTAATTACCCCCTTACAGCTTGTACTAGGCGGTACGGACATTTAAGCCGGATTATCTGACAGTAATCTATTGAGACTCCCCACGTGGATATATCGATCTAAAATCTATGGGAATGCGCCCTTAAAGTATGTATGCTGCTTTTGTTTCTTATATGTTTATTCAGTTGTCCGTTGCAAATTAAGCCATCTTTGTATCAAACAGATATAAGTTGTAGATGATTTTGCTCTGCTTGCATAGCTCATTGTTCGTATCTTTTTTCTGCCTAGAATCCCTGGGCTTTGAAGAATTGTTGGTACGATGAGATGGAACATGGTCATGCTTGAATAGAAAGTTTCGACCACAGCTTGCATGCATGTAAACGTTGGCTGTTACGTTTTCTCCACGGAAGACCAGGGTGGTTCGAACTCCATAATGAAAAGGAGCCGAAAGGTGGATAAAACTATCACCATGGGCAACAGCTCACACTTCACATTTTTCAGGAAATTTCTAGATAAATTTTCATGAAACGTTGAGTCTGCTAACAACACCATGAAGCAGAATTCTAGCTTTAGCAGACAACCGGGATCAGGCATGCCAAAATGTTAAACATTTGACAATTTTACTTCGCATGTACAGGCCTACCCAACTATCAGACGCGGCACCTACGGATCCAGAATAAACCGGTATATCAGACCACACTAGCCGTTTTCAAGGTGTGTGTCAGATCGCATTACGGAGTATCAGCCACTTCACCCATTTTGCCTGGCGCGCGATGTGATAGCGATGATCCTAAGCAATACCCGGATGACAGGTAGACCTACAAAAATTTGTGATGGGGTAAGATACTCCGTAATGCAATCTGNGATCCTAAGCAATACCCGGATGACAGGTAGACCTACAAAATTTGTGATGGGGTAAGATACTCCGTAATGCAATCTGACACACCTTGAAAACGGGTAGTGTGGTCTGATATACCGGTTTATTCTGGATCCGTAGGTGCCGAGTCTGGTAGTTGGGTAGGCCTGATGTAACTTTTAGATTTTTTTAGACCATGCATGTGCATTACACATATTTTTCAAGAAAATTTGAAAAATCTCTACTTTTTATTTTCTCTACTTATTTATTAATTTTTTTCTCTCTTGTTATTCGGACTATTTCTCTTCCAGCTGTTTAAAGCCTGTTGTTGAAGTGCACATGTTCTTGAATAAATATTTTTTACATAACTGTCATTTTGGTGAAAGGGATGCACTGATATGAACTTCGTCAACACAACATGTCACACAAAGCAAGATAATTGAGAGTTTAGATGGAGGAAACGAGAAACGCGTGTTCTCTACGGTCACGGCATGCGGCATCACGATTCCGAGAAAACAGCAGAATAAACGGACAAATATAGACATGCAGAGTGAAATTACAAAGCCCGTGTTTCCTGCAATAATAAGCCTATCGCCCGCGCGCTGTGACTTATGTGACGTTGTTGCAAACAAAAATATTTGGCATAAGCGCACGCGGACGTTCAACTTTGAAAATTATACGCACAACAGAAGCCAGAAAGAAGGGGAATTTGCCTCAATTACCCTCCATTATCTCAATAGCTTACAAAATCGAAGAATATGCCACACAATAATTTTAAATTTGAACGGATTACTTACGGATCCTGTGTAAACAGAGTGCCTATCAACAGCCCTGCATTGTTAAATATATTATTTTGCTTATGCCTGTGGTCATGTTGCGCAACCCGGTCACATTTCACTTCACATTTTACTTGGAATCTTGAGATAACCGACACAGAAATTGATTTTTTTTTCGGAAGAGAGAGAGAGAGAGAGAGGGGTACTTACGTATGCCATTAGGCACCCTCGTCTATGTGCCAGTTGACGCTGTCATTTCTGCTCAAAAATTCTCACTGCACAGAAATGGGCAGTGGATTAAAGAAATATCTGTGAATGTTTAGTAAGAAAATATGTGGCCTTTGTAGAGGGTATACGTTAAGTGACGTTCTTGACGGATAAGTTTCGGTAAAAAGTAAAAAATAACTGCACACACAGTAGATTTTCTACATTTTTATTCATACATTTGATATAAATTCTCAACAAAATATTACACTTGCAAACTTCAACAGGTCGTCAGCAGAGAAATAATCAGGGCAAATATATCTGACAGGAATCTCAAAAACAAATTATTGGGACACTAATTATATCTTTATGTACCTTTATATATTAATATAACAGAAGGTCAAGATTTACCTCTCTTCAAGTAAACAATAGACGGAAATATGCAACCGTCTATGACTTCATACAATACATGTACATCTAAGACGCCCTACATGGCTTCAGAACCATAACTGAAAAATGACCCAAATACAGTAAAACATTAGCCTCCATCTTATATATCTAGCCTTTTTATGAGCCCCCATAACACTCGTTTGCATGATAAACATGCGCAAATGAAACATGAAATGTTTATTTTGATATCAACATATACTCCACTAAATGATAATAAACAGATAAATAAATAATAACAGCAAAAACATATTGTTCCAATCTCGGTTCTGCACACGTATTCAAATCATGAAAAAGTCACTGTGCAAAACACCAAGTAAAGATTGACAAACATTGTTTAATTTGGTTGCTACATGTACGAAAACTGCTGGAGTGAGAGGCGAGGTTTACTGCGTCCGTTTCACCACCATCAGGCTTGCTTATGAGCTTAAGAAGGGATTACAAGGATGTGATGCAATACGCCTACTGTACAACAAAATGATTAATCCACAGTTTGACCAAAATCGAGTTTCCGTACGAGTAAATTTCTGAAATATGATGAACATAAGAGAACGAATGTGGTGCTTCGATCAACACACTGCTTACTGTGTCCGTTTCACCACCAATAGGGTGATTATGTGCTTACAGTATCTTTTACAAAGATGTGACGCAATAGGCCTACTGAACAACAAAATGATTAATCCACAGTTTGGCCAAAAACGAGTTTCGAACACGTAATTTTCTGAAATTTGACGACCATTAGAGCTATAATGTCGTACTTCGTACAAGCAATCTACTGATACCGTAGTAAGGTAATGAGCTTTCTTCTATGATGATACCTACGTAAATAACTGCATCGAGAATTATTACGTGTTAAATATCTACATTTCATGTTACTGAAACGAACACTGCAAGAAATTTATGGCAGATTACAAAAATGAGATCAGGTCTATGATTCCTTGCAAATTATGCAACGCTTCAGATTAGATAACAAAAAGCAGACGATTATTTTGACCTGTACAATGGATAAAAACTTGCATGCACAGCATACATTACTGATTTAATAACAAAGGCACACTGCTGCAAACTTGATATTCCTTTAGATAATTGTGATATAAAGTATCAGAAAGAGATCAACAGGTTTTTATACATTTATGATGCTAAAAATTACAAGTACCTGCTTAAGGAATACAGATTCTAGGATTAAATAAGTACTAGCAAGTGTGGCTTGACAGGAAATTATCTATTTTCACTTCTACTATGAATGGTATTGTGCATCATTACAACAGAAAGATGATCTTTTAAGTGACGAGTCTGTTTTGATCATGTCACATTATATTGTTTCACCAAAAATGGCACATTTCACTCAAACATTTTGGTAAATTAAGGCCACCAAGAACACACAAAGTACTATAACTACTACATCTGCTGCAATCACTGATTAACCAGAATGATGTCTCAAAGACAAACCGCCATGACAGGGGCGGATCCAAAGATATTTTCTGACAGTCTTCCAAATTATCTTTGTTAATCAATCCTCCATTTTTTGACCGTCATCCGACAGAAAATATTAGATACCCGTCAATGTAAACATGAAAATCCGACCGTCTTCTGGAACACCCAGAAGACTCCCTAAATCCGCCCCTGCATGAAGGTCAACTGAAATAATGACAACAAATGAAGCACTGAAAGCCCAAGACACTGAATGACATATATGACTAGAGATCAACTTGATGAAAGAGTCAGTTTCAGAGATTGGGGGGGCTTCAGATGATTCACCACAAAAGCAAATCTGAAACATGCACAATGTACCGCTAAAAAAAAAAAAAAAAAAAAAAAAAAAAAAAAAAAAAACATATTCTGATTGAATGCCCTATGACCAAACAACTAAGAGAGCAGTATGAACTCAATTTTAATAGTGTATATGAGCTATGTGAAGCCACCGTGGAAGTTGTTGTAGATTTTGTGTACAACGTGCATTCTCAGTATTTACATGTATAATTTATTTATCAGCAGCACTGTGTAATAAGCTTTGTGTACGTTTGTGTGCTTTTTATTGTGCATTACTTTTTGTTATTAATGTTGCCACACTTCACGAAAATAAATTACTACTACTGCTCCAGTTTAAGCAGGCACAGAGGGTACTCCCAGAAGTGGTGTTTGGGTTTAAATAAAAACTGACCTCCCTTCTCTTGAACCATGCAGCACGGATCTGCCCCTCACTAACAGACTAAATGACTTATACATATATACTGTAAAGAAAAAATAAATGAAAAAAAAAAAAGGCAGCACAATAACAGGTACAAATACCTCAAACAACAAGCCAGGTAATTGCAATATAAAACTGAGCTGCAAATCCGATAGTTCTGACATTTTCCTTATCATACAGCTTAACTGAGGGATCAATACCTGTTGATAAAAACATACAGAACTAGGCTCCCACTGTCTTATATTAATATCACCATAATTATTTCAGCAAGCTAAATGTACTTGTCATTTCACAGTGGCTTTGAAAAATCCCCCATCCTCCCCTACATGTACTTATCACTGTTCTCAAAACAAAAAAGATAGCCGAATCACAAATATATATATATATATATATATATTAAACAAGAGTTGCTGAGTAATGACAGTGATTGGCATCTTACCAACATACTCAGAGTAACGCAGTATGGCAATACAACAAATGAAGATCTGAGTTTGTGCTACAGACAAGAAAGTCACGGCTATGAATGGGGACCATTTTGAAAAAAAGACAATTTTAGATGGTATAGAAAAAATGAGAATCTACCAGCATGCACACAAGGTTCAATCCCTTATTTACAATTGAAAATGATGAGAAAATAATTAGACTAGAAAGATATTTTATGCTGAGTATTGTTAAAAAAATCAGAATCAAAGCCTGCTGATAGGTGTTCTCTCTATTCAATGACAAGCAAACAATTTGCGCTCATTATAATCCTTTAGTACCATATGAGTGGATTGGTTGACATACAAACTAAATGTCACAGCAAGCCACATTCTACTGCCACCGAGTTTTGGCCTTTATCTCACATAAATTACTTGAAGATCATTCTGTTGTCATCATTCAGACTCGTCTATTTCTGTCTCACCTTGGACTACGTACGCAGCTCTATCTATAACATATTCTACATGGTTAAGAACAACTCACACTGTAATTATCATTTAAAATTCAGATCTGGTCCACAGATTATAATAAATACTATTAACAAACTATACTTGCCATTTAACAATCTAATCTTCAATTAACTGGTATATATATATATATATATATATATATATATATATATATATATATATATATATATATATATATATATATATATATATATACACACACCTTTTATCCCAGCATATGTGATACTCAATGTATTTTCAACTAGAGGGGTAAAACAGGAGAATTCAGACATGTGAAATCAAAGTTTAAAATAATTCATTAATGCACATAATAAACTGCTGTTGAAAAACATATAAAACTGACATTGGCAAAAACTGATAATTTTTACTACTGTACAGATCTCATTAAAAAGGTCAAAACTAGTTATTAGAGACTAGCAACTTGTTCTTGGCTTCAGTGATTTGGCTGAGTATTTCAAAGATTTGCACCGATTTTGTTCTTAATTTAAAATGAAGGCACAGATGTCTTTGATCAGATTGAAACGTCACATGGCACACACACAAATACCGTCAATTGCACATCAAATACAGATTACATTTATTTCAACAACAGTAACAACAGCAACAAAGGGGGGGGGGGTATTATTAAATTTTTTTGTTTTGAAAAAAGCGAACCTTTTTTTAACCATGAAACCTCTGCATGTTCATAAACCTGCACCAAATTTAATCTATGAGTGGGCCATTTTCCAGGTCATTACAGCAGTCCTTTTGTACCCCCCTCCCCCAATACGGCCCTGGCAACTATAAGAAAACTTCTATGAAGTTTTGACTATCAATGTCGCTAGTCTTTAGATAGTGCATGTGCCGCATGTGTCTGCAACATGTCATATTCAATATCTATTACATAACAATTATCACCAAACTGATGAAATGATAATATGTCTAAACTATAACTACAATCATGACACTCAAAAAACTTCACTGATTTTATGAAAAATAATGTCATGGTCATGTCATATCATACAAACATTTACTGACATGACTGCACAAATAAAAAATAACAGTAAGTGTAGTAGCATTTGGATAATTTGTATATGATTATTGTATACTACAGTAGCATATTGCACACAAAATATATGGTATTCCATGATGACCAAATCAATGAAGTAACAGAGAGCCAGCGCAATAAAAAATCACTGTTGGGTTTCTGTAAAATGGCTAAAATATCAGAACGTACTAAAGAAAAAAAAAAAAAAAGAGAAAAATCCTAAACGAAACAGTCTCCCCTTTGAATAAGTAGATTGTCTCATCATATTAGTTTGAATCTGATTATGTAAAACTTGCACAATGTCTTGAAAAAGCTTCGCTAAGCAGGCAGCACCAAAACATATTGCATAATTATTCAAACGAAGAAAGGAGCAAATTCCAATTTCTAATTTTAGTCATCTTCTAGAAAAAATATTATTCCTTAGTAATTTTTACAATGACATCGTACAACAAATAGATCTCAATTTCTCAAAAAGAGCTTGGCATAATCCCATTCAAACATCAGTGGAGAGCAATGGCCTTTGAGAGACCTTGACCTAAATAATGCCACCTTGACCTTGACCTAAATTATATCACCTTGACCTCAGCTGCTTTCACCAGAACCCTGAAAGGAGGGGTTTCTTTTCAGTTTTTCAGGATTATCAGACGCCATATTGGTGAAGTCTCGGAACACATCAGTAAATGTGTCATCGCCAGGGTTCCCGTACAGGCCCTCTGTCTCTCGCATCTCCTCATTTAACTTTGCAAGGCGCAGCCTGAAAAATTAAGAAATGAACAACAATTAAAATGTCTAAAATTTTTTTCCAAAGATCTTTTTTTCATTGTGTATATTCCATGTTACAAAACATCATGTACATTTAGGTTTAAACAGACTTTGACAATACTTATTTCCTGTTCAGCAGTGAAAGATGCACCTGAAAACAAATATTTGACCTCTCAAAATGTATCAAATTTGTTGCAGTAACAATTTCTTCAAATCAACAGCTTTAATTATTCACTGTTACTGCAAGTGCAATTATAACCTAGCTGCTGAATCTCTTAATGAGAGTCAAAATATGCAGTGATTGTTGCGACTAGGTGGTGTGTACAAAAAAATACAAAACAGTATTGATGTATAAGTAACTTACAGTGTTACAATGTCGGCATTAGCATCATTCACAGCAATGGTCAGAGGATCCTGAAATATAAAAATTTATTGTTTTACATTTATATAATAATAACCATTATTTCTATTTATACAATTTTAAACTGATTATAAATGATATCCCAATATTGCTTTTTAAAAAAGGAGAAACATCAAGGTCATTCTCAATCAAAATAAATAAATTCCACAAACAAGGGCAAAATGATTGAAACTATTGACAGTAACATTATAATTTTTATCCAAAATACTATTTACTGTATATTTTCTTAATCATATTTGCACTCTAAAAATAAAAGCAGACTATGGCACACAGAGTGTGTAAAGCCAAACTTTTTCACATCATGTGAATAAATTACAAACTAATGAAATGTATTACGTGTACCATGTGATTTTATAAAACAGCAATGTAAAGTAAAATATGTGTCATTTGTGATTTAATAAACAACCAATGAAATGTATACCCTATCATAATGTGACTTAATACCTGACCAATGAAATGCTATCTCATGTCATGTGATTTCATAACTGACCAATATAGATATGTCTATCCTATCACGTGACCTACCATGCCATCAGCATCTACTGCATGTTGGTTGGCGCCCCGTTTAAGAAGCTGACACACTTGACTGAAATAGATATAGGTATCATTCATATCCTTTGCCAAACTGAACTGCAAAAGGAAATGTAAAATAAGTGAAACTGACCAGTCTCCCGAGCAAAAAATAGAAAAGGGACAATATCTGCATATCAGGTCTCAACTCATTAATACCTTCATGGACTTTAAATGTTCTAGTTTAATTGACCCCATGGCTGGTGGGGGTCACATAAACAATACAACTTTAGGCTGAGCTTAGAAAGCTAAAATCAGAGATCTTTATAAAATAAACTTAGTCTGCTCAGTCTTAGTACGCTAATAATTTAGTCCCAAAAGTGACTTGAGACTTTTTGTGAAACAGGCTCCTGTCCAGATACTCACGCAGTCAGCCCCAGTCTTGTAGCATGGTGGAGGGCTGTCTTGGCATTGTTATCTTTTCTGTCTACCTTTGCACCATTCAGCATCAGAAACTCACAGGCCGGTAGTGACCCCTAATGGCAGAAAATAGAGTTAAGGCATTTCATGGAGGGATTTTTTATTTCAAGTGAATCATAGTAAAATAAGTATTACATAAATAAACTGAAACTTATATCAAATAGACAGATAGATAAAGCAGATACTTCTGTATAAAACAGTGATGATTGTCATATAGGTCTTTTGTCATGAAATGTTCAGAAACAGCAGTTCATAAAACATAATGTAAACAATCTGTCATTATAACCACACGTAGCGCATTTTACTCATGTCACACCTAATGCAATGTACTCACACTCTCCACAGCCTTCATAAGAGCATTCTTGCCTTCCTCATCCTCATTGGCCCAGTTGGGGTCTGCGCCGTGCGCCAGCGCCTCCTGCATTACAGCAACGTTGTGGGCTACGGCTGCCTTGTAGAGTAAACTACTGGGGGATAATTTGGAGACATCTTCTAACGAGGTCACAGATTTTGTGTCACTTTCTTCCGTCTCTGTGGAAGAGTCTTCAGAACTTTCTGGAAGACCTGTGTATTGTTTTGTTTAGTAGGTCAGTAATCTAAGATTTATTGTTTTGATTTTCTTTTTTTCTCTTTTTTTATTTTTGATGAGTGATTTATATGTTTCAAAGCAGTTTTTCTTTTAAAAATAAAATATTTAGTGTGTGTTGCTTATAATTACTTATATTTAATGTCTCAATTATTTCAATATATAAATCTTAACTTGCAACGACAATGACTGTGGTCCCCTATCTATCAATCTGCAATTTCAACTCCAACAGTAATTTTTAATTTTCTCAAACATTTTGTTTTTTTTTTATTCTATGATTTATCTTTGATAAGAACCAATAAAACTCTCTCCCCTCCCCAAAAGGGCATGTGCTCCCACTTCCTTTAGTTCACTGGAGTTCAAAACTAAAAAACAATTTAAAGTACATACATGTGTGTTATACTGTGAAACAAAGAAATCATGGTAACCTATACCTGTTTCTATAATGGGTTCCTCTGGCATGTTGGCACCGAATACAATGACATCGTCTGTGGTGCTTATACTGCTCAGACTCAGACCACTGTCTTTACTTGTGCCTGAATGAGAACCAAAAATTATCAATCGTGTAATTTTTTTTGATTGAATTTTTCATAAGGAAAATCTTTACTGTGCAAAACTGACTGATAAAGCTTAACTCATATTTATGTATTGGTATATAATAATTTAGTTAATCAAGGCAATGTTCTGAATAAAGCCAGAAATCTATAGTAAAACTATTAGGGCCAAAATGCCAAATAGAATTTTTTTCTTTCAGTTAAGAAATTGGTGTGTTCTGGATTATGAATGGCACAATCTATTTAACATTTCTTTCAGCAAGTAAAAGGCAAACTATCATTATAATAATAAAAACATGTACAATGTTCTCCCTTTTCACAAGTTTAATACACCTTGAACTTAGAATTCTCCAAACCCACTACCTTGCAACATTTTTGCACCTTGTTCGTCCGGACCTGTGGATTTTATGTCCCCCATGGAACGCGTGTCTCTCTTGGTCTTTGCTACCTTCCTGCTGGGCGATTTCTTTGAACGCCGAGATACACTCCATCGGCGGCGCTCAGGGCTGACAGTGAGAGATGTTTCATCAAGCTGCGGAAGTTTCCGTACAAACGCCTTCTGGACATATTTCGCTTTGATCCAGTTTTCCCTAATGTTCCTGAAATATTAAAATCATGAAAGGTTCTACAATAAACAAAATGTACATGTTTCAGTGTAGCTTATTTAACTTTACTGGACAACCACAGATTCATACCAAGTCAAAATGTGGAAAGTTTTCCAGTTTCGAAATGTAGACCATATTTTGACATGGATTCATCTGTAACAACCCGTTTGAATGTCTACAATGAATAACAAAGTTATCAAATGTGTCTAAGAAAACATTAAATGCCAAGGGAAACATTCAGATTATACTTTAAAGGGAAGTTTGTGATCACTGTGACATTTACTGGCTGTTCTCAGGTTTATAAACTAGTCTGATTGTGAATATAAGTTATTTAAATACCAGTGACCATGTTTTATCTTTGTTTCTTTCTCTTTTTCATTGAAAAAATGGGTTACTCTTTACTTTCTCTGTCTTTTTTTTCATTTCCCAAAAAATCAACTGAAATATCACCTGGCTGGGGTTAGGGCTTTGTTCAGACCATGTTAGTATTTATCATTAAAATTAACCTGATGAATGTCCAACTTGTCCCCCCAGCAATAAGTGGTGGTAGTCAAATCACTTAAACATGTTGCGTGCCTATCAGGTTAAATGCTTTCAACAGCAGCTTCAATAGGAACAATAAAACAGTCAAATTCACCCATCTGTCATCCAAGAAATACAAAGTACATGTGAACAGAAAGTCAATGATTTCCCACCGTGGAGCCACCATCATAATTGCAATCTATTCCCACCTGCTGCAGTCTGCTGTGGCCCTCTTAGCTATCCTCTCATCCACGTCTGCCTCATAGATTCTATTCACTATGCCATTGCCCAGTTCAGCCATCACTTTCAAGAGCTCTGGCTCCCAGGCATCTAAAGTGATTGAACGGACCTTGGAGATGTGAACACCAAGACTTCTGTAATGGCAAAGTAGTAAATACATATATATTGGATTGGATATATTGGAACATGGTGACATATTTTAAATAAAATAGATATTTTAAACAATAATATAGCTTCATTTTGCCTGCGCTGGGTATATTCTCATAATTTGGAATTTTAGTAGGTATGTTTTAAAATGTTTAGTTTGAATTAATTTTGACATTGTGCATAGCCCTAAGACTAATACAGAGCATAGTTTTAAGGATCTCCTTATAATAAAAAACTTAAAAACTTATCATTATTGATTCCGAACACCATTTTATGGTATGAGATCTGTTTTACCTTTCATTTCATAATACCAAACTGGTAACTGAAATATTTATTTGTCTCCATATTTTGTCTAATAAAGTATCTTCACAAAAAAGAAGCAGCAAGTAGATTTCTGCTCTGGGTACCCAAACATGGCTCATTGGGTACACGAAACAAAACTTACGTCCAGTTTCCCCTTGAGGACACTGACTTCGAGCACATAAATGAGCTTGCCAGTGTCATGGAGGACTTTAGGGTCTAGAAATTTATTTATGCTGTTGTTTATTAATTAATGATGTCGATGGTCCACTGCAGTCGATGTGATTGATTGATAAAAATCTCACCTGTGAATTCCGGAACACTCTATACACAGAGTGATCCCAAGGTTGATGCTGGCCCACCTCGGCTCTTTGGAACCACAGTCACAGCAGACGTCATTTCCGGGGATGGAAAACAAAATGGTAATACGACTGAAAAGATCAAAACGAACTAAAAACCTGAACTTGTGCACAGTAAGTGACTTTAAAGGAGTAAATCTATTCAAATATGCAACAATAAAGTGCCAAAAAGTTTGCACTTATTACAATGTACTTTATTGGGACTGCATTTGGTCATGCATGCACTTTTTCATTTTTATGAACATTACTGCTCAAAGAAAAATGATACTTTGACATCTCTTACTATAATATATTTGCTTTTGAAATTATAGCACACCTATTTCTCTTTGGTGGCTCTGGTTGAGCCACCTCTGGGCTGACAGTGGCTCCACCTATGCTTTTGGAAGAGTTCCCATCTCCACTCCCATTGGTGTTTACCTGAAAAGCAACATCATGTACATGTAGTNAGTCTCCCCTTTGAATAAGTAGATTGTCTCATCATATTAGTTTGAATCTGATTACGTAAAACTTGCACAATGTCTTGAAAAAGCTTTGCTAAGCAGGCAGCACCAAAACATATTGCATAATTATTCAAACAAAGAAAGGAGCAAATTCCAATTTCCAATTTTAGTCATCTTCTAGAAAAAATATTATTCCTTAGTAATTTTTACAATGACATCGTACAACAAATAGATCTCAATTTCTCAAAAAGAGCTTGGCATAATCCCATTCAAACATCAGTGGAGAGCAACGGCCTTTGAGAGACCTTGACCCAAATAATGCCACCTTGACCTTGACCTAAACTATATCACCTTGACCTCAGCTGCTTTCACCAGAACCCTGAAAGGAGGGGTTTCTTTTCAGTTTTTCAGGATTATCAGACGCCATATTGGTGAAGTCTCGGAACACATCAGTAAATGTGTCATCGCCAGGGTTCCCGTACAGGCCCTCTGTCTCTCGCATCTCCTCATTTAACTTTGCAAGGCGCAGCCTGAAAAATTAAGAAATGAACAACAATTTAAATGTCTAAAATTTTTTTCCAAAGATCTTTTTTTCATTGTGTATATCCCATGTTACAAAACATCATGTACATTTAGGGTTAAACAGACTTTGACAATACTTATTTACTGTTCAGCAGTGAAAGATGCATGTGAAAACAAATATTTGACCTCTCAAAATGTATCAAATTTGTTGCAGTAACAATTTCTTCAAATCAACAGCTTTAATTTTTCACTGTTACTGCAAGTGCAGTTATAACCTAGCTGCTGAATCTCTTAATGAGGATCAAAATATGCAGTGATTGTTGCGACCAGGTGGTGTGTACAAAAAAATACAAAACAGTATTGATGTAAAAGTAACTTACAGTGTTACAATGTCGGCATTGGCATCATTCACAGCAATGGTCAGAGGATCCTGAAATATGAAAATTTATTGTTCTATATTTATATAATAATAGCTATTAATTTATATTTATACAATTTTAAACTATTATAAATGATATCCCAATATTGCTTTTTAAAAAAGGAGAAACATCAAGGTCATTCTCAATCAAAATAAATAAATTCCACAAACAAGGGCAAAATGATTGAAACTATTGACAGTAACATTATAATTTTTATCCAAAATACTATTTACTGTATATTTTCTTAATCATATTTGCACTCTAAAAATAAAAGCAGACTATGGTGCACAAAGTGCGTAAAGCCAAACTTTTTCACATCATGTGAATAAATTACAAACTAATGAAATGTATTTCGTGTACCATGTGATTTTATAAAACAGCAATGTAAAGTAAAACGTGTCAATTGTGACTTAATAAACAACCAATGAAATGTATACCCTATCATAATGTGACTTAATACCTGACCAATGAAATGCTATCTCATGTCACGTGATTTTATAACTGACCAATAAAATTATGTCTATCCTATCACGTGACCTACCATGCCATCAGCATCTACTGCATGTTGGTTGGCGCCGCGTTTAAGAAGTTGACACACTTGACTGAAATAGATATAGGTATGATTTATATCTTTTCACTAAATTGAACTGCAAAAGGGAATGTCAAATAAGTGAAACTGTCCAGTCTCCTGAGCAAAAAAAAAAAAAAAAAAAAAAAAAAAGGCACAATATCTGCATATCAGGTCTCAACTCAATAATACCTTCATGGACATTAAATATTGAAATTTAATTAACCCCAAAGCTGGTGGGGATCACATAAAACTAAAGCCAAAACTCTTAGACCAGTGTTTGAATCTAGTTTAACCTCAGAAAAATCAGTAGAAGTCTACTTAAGTGAAGTATTCTGCCCATTTTATAAAACAGAAAACTTCTGTTTTAAACAAATTTTTTATGGCAGAGCACAGGTTCCCCATTTAAGGAAAATTACTTCCTTAAGCTAAGCTTAGAAAGTTCAAATCAGAGAGCTTCTTTATGAAATAAACTTAGTCTGCTCAGTCTTAGTACGCTAAGAATTTAGTCCCAAAAGTGACTTGAGACTTTTTGTGAAACGGACTCCTGTCCAGACACATGGCTGTACTCACGCTGTCAGCCCCAGTCTTGTAGCATGGTGGAGGGCTGTCTTGGCATTGTTATCTTTTCTGTCCACCTTTGCACCATTCAGCATCAGAAACTCACAGGCCGGTAGTGACCCCTAATGGCAGAAAATAGAGTTAAGGCATTTCATGGAGGGATTTTCTATTTCAAGTGAATCATATTAAAATAAGTATTACATATAAATAAACTGAAACTTATATTAAATAGACAGATAGATAAAGCAGATACTTCTGTATAAAACAGTGATGATTGTCATATAGGTCTTTTGTCATGAAATGTTCAGAAACAGCAGTTCATAAAACATAATGTAAACAATCTGTCATTATAACCACACCTAGCGCATTTTACTCATGTCACACCCAATGCAATGTACTCACACTCTCCACAGCCTTCATAAGAGCATTCTTGCCTTCCTCATCCTCATTGGCCCAGTTGGGGTCTGCGCCGTGCGCCAGCGCCTCCTGCATTACAGCAACGTTGTGGGCTACGGCTGCCTTGTAGAGTAAACTACTGGGGGATAATTTGGAGACATCTTCTAACGAGGTCACAGATTTTGTGTCACTTTCTTCCGTCTCTGTGGAAGAGTCTTCGGAACTTTCTGGAAGACCTGTGTATTGTTTTGTTTAGTAGGTCAGTAATCTAAGATTTATTGTTTTGATTTTCTTTTTTTCTCTTTTTTTATTTTTGATGAGTGATTTATATGTTTCAAAGCAGTTTTTCTTTTAAAAATAAAATATTTAGTGTGTGTTGCTTATAATTACTTATATTTAATGTCTCAATTATTTCAATATATAAATCTTAACTTGCAACGACAATGACTGTGGTCCCCTATCTATCAATCTGCAATTTCAACTCCAACAGTAATTTTTAATTTTCTCAAACATTTTGTTTTTTTTTCATTCTATGATTTATCTTTGATAAGAACCAATAAAACTCTCTCCCCTCCCAAAAGGGCATGTGCTCCCACTTCCTTTAGTTCACTGGAGTTCAAAACTAAAAAACAATTTAAAGTACATACATGTGTGTTATACTGTGAAACAAAGAAATCATGGTAACCTATACCTGTTTCTATAATGGGTTCCTCTGGCATGTTGGCACCGAATACAATGACATCGTCTGTGGTGCTTATACTGCTCAGACTCAGACCACTGTCTTTACTTGTGCCTGAATGAGAACCAAAAATTATCAATCAAATTAATTTTTTTTTTCGATTGAATTTTTTATAAAGATTATCTTTACCATGCAAAACTGACTAATAAAGCTTAAGTGATATTTGTGCATTGGTATATAATAATTAAGTTAATCAAGGCAGTTCTGAATTATGAATTGCGCAATCTATTGAATATCTTTTTTCTCTTAACAAGTAAAAGTCAAACTATTATTATAATAATAAAAATGTTTACAATCTTCTCCCTTTTTACAGGTTTAATACACCAGTAACTTAGAATTCTCCAAACCCGCTACCTTGCAACATTTTTGCACCTTGTTCGTCCGGACCTGTGGATTTTATGTCCCCCATGGAACGTGTGTCTCTCTTGGTCTTTGCTACCTTCCTGCTGGGTGATTTCTTTGAACGCCGAGATACACTCCATCGGCGGCGCTCAGGGCTGACAGTGAGAGATGTTTCGTCAAGCTGCGGAAGTTTCCGTACAAACGCCTTCTGGACATATTTCGCTTTGATCCAGTTTTCCCTAATGTTCCTGAAATATTAAAATCATGAAAGGTTCTACAATAAACAAAATATACATGTTTCAGTGAAGCTTATTTACCTTTACTGGACAACCACTGATTCATACCAAGTCAAAATGCGGAAAGTTTTCCAGTTTTGAAATGTAGACCATATTTTGACATGGATTCATCTGTAACAACCCGTTTGAATGTCTACAATGAATAACAAAGTTATCAAATGTGTCTAAGAAAACATTAAATGCCAAGGGAAACATTCAGATTATACTTTAAAGGGAAGTTTGTGATCACTGTGACATTTACTGGCTGTTCTCAGGTTTATAAACTAGTCTGATTGTGAATATAAGTTATTTAAATACCAGTGACCATGTTTTATCTTTGCTTCTTTCTCTTTTTCATTGAAAAAATGGGTTACTCTTTACTTTCTCTGTCTTTTTTTTCATTTCCCAAAAAATCAACTGAAATATCACCTGGCTGGGGTTAGGGCTTTGTTCAGACCATGTTAGTATTTATCATTAAAATTAACCTGATGAATGTCCAACTTGTCCCCCAAGCAATAAGTGGTGGTAGTCAAATCACTTAAACATGCTGCGTGCCTATCAGGTTAAATGCTTTCAACAGCAGCTTCAATAGGAACAATAAAACAGTCAAATTCACCCATCTGTCATCCAAGAAATACAAAGTACATGTGAACAGAAAGTCAATGATTTCCCACCGTGGAGCCACCATCATAATTGCAATCTATTCCCACCTGCTGCAGTCTGCTGTGGCCCTCTTAGCTATCCTCTCATCCACGTCTGCCTCATAGATTCTGTTCACTATGCCATTGCCCAGTTCAGCCATCACTTTCAAGAGCTCTGGTTCCCAGGCGTCTAAAGTGATTGAACGGACCTTGGAGATGTGAACACCAAGACTTCTGTAATGGCAAAGTAGTAAATACATATATATTGGATTTTAAATAAAATAGATATTTTAAACAATAATATAGCTTCATTTTGCCTGCGCTGGGTATATTCTCATAATTTGGAATTTTAGTAGGTATGTTTTAAAATGTTTAGTTTGAATTAATTTTGACATTGTGCATAGCCCTAAGACTAATACAGAGCATAGTTTTAAGGATCTCCTTCTAATAAAAAACTTAAAAACTCAACATTATTGATTCCGAACACCATTTTATGGTATGAGATCTGTTTTACCTTGCATTTCATAATACCAAACTGGTAACTGAAATATTTATTTGTCTCCATAATTTGTCTAATAAAGTATCTTCACAAAAAAGAAGCAGCAAGTAGATTTCTGCTCTGGGCACCCACACATGGCTCATTGGGTACACGAAACAAAACTTACGTCCAGTTTCCCCTTGAGGACTTGGAGCACATAAATGAGCTTGCCAGTGTCATGGAGGACTGTAGGGTCTAGAAACTTATTTATGCTGTTGCTTATTAATTAATGATGTCGATGGTCCACTGCAGTCGATGTGATTGATTGATAAAAATCTCACCTGTGAATTCCAGAACACTCTATACACAGAGTGATCCCAAGGTTGATGCTGGCCCACCTCGGCTCTTTGGAACCACAGTCACAGCAGACGTCATTTCCGGGGATGGAAAACAAAATGGTCATACGACTGAAAAGATCAAAACAAACTAAAAATCTGAACTTGTGCACAGTAAGTGACTTTAAAGGAGTAAATCTATTCAAATATGCAACAATAAAGTGCCAAAAAGTTTGCACTTATTACAATGTACTTTATTGGGACTGCATTTGATCATGCATGCACTTTTTCATTTTTATGAACATTACTGCTCAAAGAAAAATGATACTTTGACATCTCTTACTATAATATATTTGCTTTTGAAATTATAGCACACCTATTTCTCTTCGGTGGCTCTGGTTGAGCCACCTCTGGGCTGACAGTGGCTCCACCTATGCTTTTGGAAGAGTTCCCATCTCCACTCCCATTGGTGTTTACCTGAAAAGCAACATCATGTACATGTAGTACTTACAAATTAAAGATGTAGCNAATAATTATTTTAACTTTAAAAAAATCTGAATCACACCTAGTTGGAGAGATCACTTCAAAGCAGAAACGACGGTCAGTTTCTGTGAAAAGTCGCACAGTGCAGAGACGGAGGTCCTCCTCAAACACTGTCAGATTGTCTTTGGAGCGCTTGCGATACACTAACTGATTGTTCTGCAAGATAAACCAGCGCCTGAAAAATAAAATGACAGACTAATAATAGGAACAGAACAGACATGGGAAAAACTTTGGAGGCACTGAGGTCCAGAGGACTTGAACTGAGGCTTTACCATGGGGATCAAAGAAAGTTTTAAGAATTCTCTGTCATTTCCAGATAGGGCCAATGACCTTGACTCAAAGTGCAATGCATGTAATCTCAACTACCACAACTGATCAGTGTACAGTCCTTGTGAGAATTGAGTTGCCTTGGCAGACATCTGCACTCTCAGAGTGCTTTTCTAGTTCAAATTTCTTTTCAGCTATGCAATGTATTTCTACAGTTGTACAGTAATATCAAAGCAAAATGAAAAAAAAATCTAATTCAAGGCATAGAAGTAAAAAAATCATTTATTTATATATTTATTCATACATATATACATTTACTTATTCACTTATTTAAATGCAGACAGAGCTGCAAGTGCTTTTTCACATGACATACCTGACCCAAGTTTTGAACCCCTTGCTTGTCCTGCGAAACAGGTAGCCTTCTATCTTCACGTTTGGATCATCTGATGTCAAAGATGGCTGGGAGGATGCACTGGCATTCTGAAGCAAGATGCAATATTCTTAAAGCAATGACAAATTTAAAATCATATATATGATATGATGAAAAAATATTTAATGTAATAAATGAATACAGCATATTTTCACAAATTGACAAATGCAGAGACTTCGATACAGAATATTTTAACCACCATAAAACAAGAACTATATCATAGTCTTTATATTGACCTCTTTGCTGTGCATGAACTATTCAAAATATTATATCCCATGTTATTATTTTTCAAACATCAACATATACCCATCCAAAGCCACACATTACATTTTGACATTTTTTAGAGGTTAAAAAAACTCCTGTGACAAGTGTCAGTCACTGAAACTCAAATTCAAATGATCAAGAATCGTAATGTAATAAGAACGATTACACCTCCTAACCCCAACAATATAATGAGATTTCAAGTATAAATCAACACTCGCGGTAAATTTGTTGACAAGCAGTAGCATATTTATAGCAACTGTGATATTTGAGTTTGCTCTCCCTGCTTATCTAACCTTTTGGTAAAGTGTGCCAAAAATGTGCAGGAGATTTCAGTTAACTCAAAACTAGATTAATTGGTTTTCTAGCTGCCTACAGCAAGTCTGATAACCTATTGCTGTAAGTTTACTCTATTCTGGATCCAGAAACCTTCATGCTATTTCTTTTTTTCACCTTAATCTCATTTTCTTGCTTTTTCTCATCTTGCTTTATCTAGTTTTACAAATGTCTACTCATTTTCCTATACCTGTTATAACTCTTCTTCTTTTAAAATTTCTAAACTTTTGATGATCTTTGCTGATGTGCATTTTCATTTCCTTCATCATTATTACCATGTAAGCCTGTCATTTTTTATAATTAAAAACAAGAAAAACTATGAATATAGTGAATAACACTTTTTTTTCATAATAAATATCAAGAAAAACTAAAAGTGTTGAAAGCTTAAAACTCTTAGCTCTACACGAACATCTTTTGTTTTAGTTATTTTTTTCTCTCTGAATATCTAAACACCTAAAGGCATTTGCTAGTCCAAGTACATGATTTCATGGGGATGACATTCTAAAAAACGTTTTTGAAACAAACAAGTCAATCGGAGAAAAATGTCACTGGGAGTTATGGCCCAATGAATTTTTCTTCATCTCAACCATGTAAACTTCAAACAACAATGACAGACAGTGGAACAAAAAACAACATGATACAACATGACTAGGCTTTAAGGGAAAGTTTGGACTTCAGAGAAAAAATTTGGGCTGACTATTTTTCTCAAGTGAACTTTCAATGACCAAAGAGCTGACATCACACACCCTCTAGTTGGACAAGCCCAGTTAGGCCAGAGAAAACTGATAAGTTGGTTAACGAGAGACAACCCTCTCTAAGCAATTTTTGTTTTGTTTTTAAAACATTTGATGTGCAACGAGCAAAACAGCTTGACTTCACAGTCAGTAAATGTTTTTATTCTTTGTTGTTGTTTTTTTAATTTAATTTTATTTTAGTGAGGAGGAAATGTCTAATCTACGGTGTTGAGGCAATTTCACAGAATAGAAACAAGAGCATTGTTTTTTTTCTGGGGTCAACTATAAATGTCTCCCACTTTAACCAATTAAACTCAAACCAATCCGCAATAGATTTTTTTCCCATTTAAAATAAAAATTGAAAAAAATTTTCCCAATATCAGGAATTTTGTAATTTTTCCCAAATTAGTGTCAGTTGCGCCCTCTAACAACTTCTCAATTTTGTCTGGCCTTGGCTGTGAACAGGCTTGAGGGATACGATAAGAAATTATTTCCTCCAATCCACTGCTGCATGTTTGAAATTACCAAGATGGAATGACAGAAAATACCCTATGGGGCAAGTTTCTCAAAAGAACTTTGGACCAAACCCTGGTCTTATCTTTAAAATTAAAAATACCCAAAATAAGACAAATTTTTAAAGTTAGTGCATTATACATTTACCCTTAATTATACATAAGTTTTATAGGGCAAGACTACATAAGGGGCAAGAGAGAGAGAGAGAGAGAGAGAGAGAGATGACATTAAGTTGTTACTTTGTTTGTAGCATAGCAAGTTCTTGAAGTTATCTGCACAGGAAGTACTCAGTTTGGTTCACAGGAGCAAAAATGTTCAATTCTTTTCTACATACTGCTTTAGGCAACAAAGATTGTAGAACATTACACAGCCTCTGGCCTAGTAATATAATACAAGATGACTAAGATAAACAGAAAAAAGACTGAAGGGACTTCTGCAACTTACAGTATTAGCCCCCCCCCCCTTCCCAGCCGAAAAAAAAGCACACCCAGAGGCAGTGAAATCTTCAGGTCATTTAATGAGGACATTTAAAATCACGATATCACAAGAAATTAGAAATACAGAAGCTAATAAAGTAAACTCACTTCAACACAGACTTAAATTTATGTACAGTTTACAAAAGGGGACAAACCTGGACTAACAGTATGTTAAAATACTTTTTAAGCTTTGACTTAAAGCTTTTTTCATCTGAAACAGATTCCAGGGTTTAAATTAGCCAATGGGTCTATCTGATTCTGGCAACATTGTGACAGCACAAACAAGCTTCCCCTGCTGATAAGTCGAGAACAGCAACCCAACAAAATCACCTCACAGAGGGCGCTGTCTATCAGCATGTCTCATGCTCTTGTTATCTCAGAAAAAAAAAA